ACCTACAACCGAACTGAACCAAAGCGAACTTTACTTCTTACCAAACCAAACCGAACTTAAACTTTGAAGTTGTTAGTAACAAACCGAACTGAACAAACTGCCCTTACCCTAACCAGACCAAAAAGAGATTTAAAGTAGTAAAAATTTTGCAATTCTTCAATTTTTAAGTTTTGAGTTAAAACGTTTTAAAAAGGAATGACTTTAGGAGATTTAATAGATTTTTTTTTTTTAACTTATGTTTTCTCTGCAACTTTTTTACTTATAACTTAGGTTTGCAATACAGTAGAACAACATTATCCTGAAATACACAACACCATCAATAAGCTTGAATAAAAAGTATATTATTCATTATTTACACAAGCTATCAACATTTATTTGTCCTTCTTACAAATGCTTGTCTTTCGTTAATGCAGAAGATCGCAATTTTGTTTATTCAGAGATGCATAGTATGGTTTGACAAAACTATTTCTTCTTTAACAATTTAGGACTCAGGCAGTATAGATATAGACAGCTTTAGTAAATGCAGTCATTCAGATCAACTGTTTCTTTAAAAAAATATGTAGCTGATACTGAATCGTATGATTTGCAGGCAAACTTTAAAACAGCTGCCACTCCATTGTCTAAAGCTGGCACACAAAACTAAATTGCAATTTATTTCAAATAATTTGCAATGCTTTAACTACTTAATATTACTTTAATTTATTTGTGTTTTTATCATTGTGAATGTAACTAATAAAACTAATAAAAAAACAATTGTGTTGAGTTCAAACCGAACCGAACCCGAACTCGCTTAAGACCGAACCGGACCGAAATTAAAAAAAAAGGTTAGAATTAATCATCAGAGCATCAACAGTAAATAATTCAAGAACAAAACTAAAAGTTCAACAATAAATACATTTTCTGAGTTTTCATATAATTAAACTTTAGTAAACAATATATAACTATTATTTATTATCTAAATTAATAATAGTTAAATTATTATTGTTAAAGGCTGTCGTAGATTTAACATTATAAAATCAGCAGCATTACTTTTTATTACTATTAGGGGGTATCCATAAAGTACATACGCAGTAAAACCACTGATTTAGGACCTCACTCTCTTGTACGAATCTTTACACTTTCGAGGACCCCTTTCTCCTCCGCGTACGTACGAATTACTTTTTTTTCAAAACTAACTCTTCTCTACGCGATATTTATAAAGAAATAATAAAAAAAAAACTGTGACAGAAAAAAAAAACACTATTCTGATTTGTTACACACCTGAAATTCAATGTTTTAAAAAAAATAAAACTTCGTTTAGGAAAGATAGTTAAACCGTGTACGAACTCACTGTCTTTTTTTTTTTTTTTTTTGTTGCCATATAAATTTATTCATAACATGAATAAATTTTGTAAATACAAATAGCAGGGCAAGACATTTGTCTTATCACCAAGCTCTTTAATCTATACCGTAATACACAATAATAAAATATAAAAATCGTAAAACTGCAGCACTGCAGCATATAAAGTATTGTTATATAGACTTTTTATATTTATAAGAAACAAACAACAAACAAACAAAAAGATAAAATTCATAGGTCCTGAATTCACCTCTCTAACTATAAAAATCTAGTTTTTTTTTATTTTAATATAACAAAAGGGCAAAAATTAAATACCAAAGTAAAAGCAAATACTATAGTATAGCAAAAAATTATATACTTAAAAAGCATGCACGCAAATACTCATAATCCTGAAACTTTCCTTTTAAACCAGTATACACCTTTACATATACAATAGAAGAAACCATGCGCTACATTGCTCATCTTTGATTCAGTCTTTGCTTCAATTTGGTCTTAAACTCATTAAGCGTTGCAATTGTTTTAAGATCGTTAGTTAATATTTTATTCCATACTTTTGGTCCTCTGGTAGAAATTGAAAATTTAGTAGCCGCAAAATAATTTGTGGGCTGATGGTAGCCGTTATACGAGTATCTGGTTAAGTATCTGTTCTGATTTGTTTTGAATAGCGGGTTAAATATTTTAAGAGATAAAATTTTATTAATTTTGAACATAAATATAAGAAGATGATAGATGTTTATTTGTAGATATCCATTATTGGTAGATTTCCATTATTGCACTTCTGCGGTGCTCTGTGACAAGACCGTTCTTGGGGCACCTAAATAACAAAAAAAAAAAAAAAAAAAAAAAAAAAAAATTATGTTTAGCTTAATAAACAATGCTTGGGAATGTGTAAAACGCCCCACATTCGATATGATTCTGATTGCATGTTTTTGTTTGTTAAAAAGTTTTTTAATTTTACTTTTATTTGTACTGCACCAAGCAAAGTTTGCATAATTTAGATGACAATAAATGAAAGAGAAATATAAAATTTTTAAGTAATATGGGTTTAAAAAAGGTTTTGCTCTACAAATCAGACGATGTTCTTTGAGATTTTACTTTCGAGATAATGTATGTGATCTCTCCACGTCACATTTTCATCAAGTAGAACACCGCAATCTATTTGTCAGATAGCTTCTAAACCATGAAATATTTATATTTTTTACACCATAGTTTTCTATTCTTTTAATAAAATGAAATGATCGACAGTGTCGAAAGCCTTACTGAGATCAATAAATACACCTAATGTATATTTATTTTCATTAAACGATTTAAATATATTTTAAACAAGATAAACAATTGCCTGATTAGTTGAGTGACTTTTTTTAAATCCAAATTGCTTATTATAAAGAATATTGTTTGCAGCTAAAAAGTAATGCAATCTTTTATACATAATGTACTCTAGTAATTTTAAAAAGCATGATAGTATGGAGAGATCCTTGTCTCCTGATTTTAATATTAGATTTTAATAGATTCCTTGTTCTAAAGAGAGACTAAATATATGCAGAAGCGGGATTTTTAAATATAGCATTGATTTAATTACTACTTTACTGCCTACATCGTCAACTCCGAAACCTTTATTTGGTTTAAGTATGCGGCCTCAAATAATTTAGCTTCTGTTAGTATATTATTATCCATTATATAATTATTAGGGTTTAGGAGCGTATCGAAACAGGTTTTACTTTTTTTTATATTTGATGCCAATCTTGGGCCTGTGCTAACAAATGCATGGTTAAACGCGGTTAACAATTATAGACTCGTAAGTAATTTCACAATCATTTATAATTAGCTTTAGTGGTTAACCATTAATATTAGTACTTTTTTTTACCTCTTACATTATGCTCCGAGTTTTTTTATATCATTTTTGTTATTTAGTAATTCGCTACTATATGCATTTTTTGTGCGCTTTACAATCGTCAGAAAAAGATAATTATAGTTTTTGAAATTTGTTTTATTCTTATTTGCTCTTTTTTTAATAAACTTATGCTTTAATGATGTCGGGTGTTATCCAGGGATTTTGTATTATTGAAGAGGTTTTGAAATATACAATAAAAATTATCATAAGCTTTATTAACATTTTTAGTATTTAAAACAGGTTCCCAGTTCTTATAGATACAAAATTAATGAAAACTTCAAGAGAGGCGTCCTTAATAACTCGCTTTGTGGTTTTTACCTTATCGGAAAGTTGGTTTATCAATTTTTGTGAAATTATAAAGACTGGAAAGTGGTCAGATATGTTAGTTATAAATATTCCCGTTTTTATTTTTATATTTTTAAAATTATTAGTTAGAATTTGATCAATGGAGGTAGCACTTTTTTTTTGGTTTATTTATAATAGGACAGAAGCCAATTTAAAAATTCATTTTAACGCTTAAAATAAACAGTTTAAAATTCTTAAAATTTTTTTGAATGCTTCTTATATTAAGGTGAAGTATGGATAATGCGTTTGAACCTCAGCAGTAATGTTTGAATTATCTGAATTATAGTAATTGGGGCTTATACTTTTCATTCCCTCTTCATCATTATAAAAGTTAATATCTATATCTGATTGATTTTCTAACGATACATAATTGTTTTTTAGGAAAGGTTCAAGATTAATTATGTTGTTATTATCAAATTTTGTTATATTATTTAAAGTATTATTATCGGAGTTAATCCTAGATAATAAATTAGTTTCCATTTTAAAAACATAAAATTCAGATAAAAAAATATAAAGAACAAAAACTAATTTATTTTCCTTCGAAATCCACTATCGAACAGTTAATATCCTCTCTTCCCTTTACAATTAATACCCTCTCTCCGTCTTTAATACCCTCTCTCCCCTTGTACGCGTTCGTTCGCTTTTGGGAAACCCCTTTCCCCATACCTGCGTACGTACTTTATGGATAGCCCCTTATTTAACTACGATGGCGACAATTAAATTTTTTGGTGTTACAGATTTGAGACTTATAAAAGTTATGCAAAATCCAGCATTTACTATATTTATGCTTAAGTCAAATGGTAATTTTACCCCAAAGGTGAAGGCAACGAGTAAATGAATTAATTTTTTTTACTTTTTATACTAATTTTATTTTCATTGACAGATTTAAAATTTTATGGAGTAATTTTTTAGAGTTAAAAAGTTATGACCATTCAAATTTTCAGCCGTCTCATTTTAGGGCGAAAAGAATATTTACATAGACATATCTTTCGAAATCAGATTATTAGATAAAACTTGAAAAACTTAGTGTATGATAGTAAAATAATTTATTTCATTAACTTAATGACCTCGAGTTTAGCGTAATGGGTCAATTTTATTTAAGCATTTTTCCCCCCAGGCTCCAAGAACCTCAATTGTTTTTGCAAAAATATTGTCATTTGACATAATCGTATTTAAGTTTGGAATTGTGTCAAATCAACAACACCAAAAAATCGGTATAGCACGCAAGTGTTTAATTGTGTGACCAAGAATGAATTTTAATTAGAGTGTCTAAGAATGAGTTTTGATATCAGAAATGATTCCCTGATCTTTAAAAAGTACGATTAGATCTATAATACGACTTTATATAGATGTTTTTAATTTTGAGCTAGCCTGCAGACAGTGCGCGTCTTCGAAATTTTAATGGTTTCCAAATAAGTCCGTGTATAAAAACAACACAAAACTTGTTTCGTAACTTATAATGCAAAATAAAATTTGTTTTCAAAAAAATATGAAAATACACCAATAAATACTTAAAATTGTATTTAGAAATTATATATTATTTGAAAAGAAAATTCCATATTTTAATAAAAAAAGCAGATTCAAACTTATTCTCAAAGATGGCTTTGCGTTTTATTCGATACAATTTTAATTTTTTTGGAAACAAAAGACAGTTGTCAGCATTAGCAGAGGCAGTTCAAAGAGGTTTTTCGGTTTTTTTTTACTAATAATTATAATAATAGTAATAAAAATAATGATAATAATAGCATTAATAATAATAATAATAATAATAAATAATATATATAGATATTTTTTTTCTCAATAAATTGCTAAATACAAGAGCTATAAGCTTGTAGGTTTTATTTGAGAGTTACTCCTGCAAGATGCACATCATATATGAAAATCAGCCATGTAGTTTTAAAATTTGAAAACAACATGTTAATGAAAATCATTTTTAAAAAATCCAAAAACGTGGTGATTTGGCTATTTAACAAAAAAAACCTAGTTTAAACAACAAGACATTTCAATACATATTTAAGAAATTAATAAAAGTTGCAATTCACAAAATTAGATTATCAAATATAATACAAAAAAATTATTAAGAGCCATAAATTTGTGAACTTTATTAAAGAATTACTCATTCAAGATCCACATTATATGTGAAAATCAGCAATGTGGGTTTACCTAAAGTTTTTAAACAGGGGTGTGTTTCCAATGAGTTAACAACCGGCTCGCTGAAAAAAAAAAAAAAAAAAAATTATTTTAATTATATTGAAATAAGATTATGGATATAATGTATTAATATAAGCTCCATATGTTTACTTCATTTTCCAAAAAAACTTATTTTTGGCCCTTTTTTTCACTCTTGTGTCCGTTGTCAGTCTTTGATTTTCATTTATCCACGACTTTACCATCAGTATTGCATCAAAATCATTGGCTGCCTATCCCAATAAATTTATGGAAATTAGATCTGCAATGTGATCTATTATTAAACTAGTTCTTAATTTTGTTAAACTAGTTCTTATAGCCTACGTCACAATGGGATTCTTTGTTTCTCTATTGTTATTTCATTGTTTACCATTGTTACGTAAGTTATAAGGAAAATAGACAAGCTTTACATGCAATACTGTTATTTATCACTTACCTATTATGCAAAATTTTTCATAAAACAGAGTCACAACACTAACTCACAAACTATTGTTCGAGTATTAATCAATATTTCTTAAAATGATCTAAACAGACGAAAGTACAACATGAAACTAAAAGTTTTATATTTATTCACATTTTATTTTAAAATAACTTTATTATTTTTCAGTAAGACAATAAAATTTTAAATATCTAACGAAAAATATATTCGACAATTGGGTACATTAATTTTAACAATGCAACAGCATTAATTTTAACAATGCAATAAAACTGATTTATTTTCTAATTGCATCTACATCATCAGACACATATCAGGCGGGACGACACAAAAATTTGTAAAATTGAATTTTTTGAGAAATGATTTAACAACCGGCTCTCTGATTTTCCAAAATTTTAATAACCGGCTCTCCCAAGCCTGTGCAAGCCGGCTCAATCACCCCCCCTGATTATAAATGAAAATCATTATTAAAAATTAAAATATAGAGTAATTAGGCCACGCACACAAAAAAAAACCTAATTTAAACAACAAAACATTGTAATACATATTTATGAAATTAAAGGAAGTATGTTTCAAATCCTAAAACTAGATTTTAAAACTAAGCTCAAAATACAAATACAATACAATAAAATATAAAAATTACAAAAATAATAGTAAAATACAAAAAATTTGCAAAAGCATGTTAATCTTTATAATAGTATCTGAATGTTATGTGGCCTTTCTGTAAATTATTTTCTTGGAGCCAGGGTTTTTGCTGATATTAGTCTTATCATAGTTAGATGGACAATGTCAGGTTGTACAGATTGTTGAAAAAAAAAACAAGCTGTTTTTTTTTTCAACAATCTGTAGTTTTCACTTACAGCTGCACAGCTCTTTAAAATGTTCTGAATAATTTTCTGTAAAATTAGGTTGTGGTGCCTTTTCAAAAACTGATCTCTTTTTTGCTGATCATCCTCAAACTTGTATCAGAGTTTATGAACATTGTTTACAAACTCTGATACAAGTTTTACAGCCCTTTCAGAACTATCATTCACTACTTTGAGTTTACAAAATTGGAAATTCTTTTGAACTGGTTAACATAGCACCACATAGAAGCAGGGTGGTTTAACCAAAGTTTGTCCTCCATTATATTCAGGTAAACTAAAGATAAACCAAGATTTCTCTCTAATTAATGAAGTAAGTCCTGATGGCTCTTCTTGTGTAAAGTTCAGCTCTTTTATCATGTTTTACTTCTCTGAATGCTAACTTGTACTGGTTCGGAGAATAATGTTTTTTTTAATTTCATTTCACAGAAACTATAAACGACTGCTTTTTGTCACAAAATGTTTTTTTTCCAACATTTCAAATGACGGATAAAGATTCAACTAACATTCTTGATCTTATATTTACAGAAAATTCAAATCGTGTTTCTGAAATTACATCAAGTTCTCCATTCTGTAAGATTGCTCATGCACATATGATATTGACTTGGAACTACTTGATAAGCGATGATAATATCAATAAAAAATTTATTTCAAGTTATGTATATAAAAAAGATGATTATGTTAAAATGATAGAAAGTTTTAATTCAATTAATTGGAAAGCAGTATTTGGGGATAGTAATATCAATCAGTGTTATGACAAATTTTTAGAATTATACACGGTGGCCTGTAACAAGTTTATCCCACGTTTTAAAAAATATGGACAACCACGACAAGCTTGATATTGTAACTCTAGCAAGATTATCTTACTGATATCCTCTTTACTGACTTTTCTAAAGCATTTGACAGAGTTCACTATAGAAAACTTATATTAAAAAATGAAATGTATGGTATAAAGGGAATAAAATATTTTATCAAATAGAAGGCAAAGTATTGTTCTTGAAGACATTGCTACCACATAGCTTAGTGTTTTAAATGGTGTATCTTAAGGCTCTGTTCTTGGACCAAATTTGTTTTTAATTTTCATAAATGATCTTCCGGATAAACTAAAAAATAAATGCATGCTCTATGCTGATGATTGCAACGTTTTCCACATAATCCGTGATAACAATAGTAATGATCTACAGAATGATATAAATTCTTTTTTGAATTTAATTTTTATTTTAAGCATTTTCATTTTTAAATGCTGATATACTTAAATTGTTATATGTTTTGCTAGTACGCCCTCATCTAGAATATGTGTCTTCTATTTGAAATCTATTTTAAAAAAAAGATATTAATCTTATTGAAGGAGTACAACATAGAGCAATAGACTAATTCCAGGATATTCAGAGTTTCTTTATGAGGAAAGATTAAATAGACTTAGTTTAACAACCTTATCTATGAGAAGAGATAGAAGTTTAATTAACTTTTTAAAATGTCTTAATAATTCTTATCAGCTAAATATAGTATCTTCCCTAAGGAACTTTTGTTGACCAACTGGACCAGCTGGAAGTGTTTGTGACTATATCCACAATCGTAGACATACTTCTAAGATCTGTAGACATTGAGTAGAAGGAATTTTTTTTTCCAATCATGTTATTCCAATTTGGAACAATTTGCCATTTGATGTCAAACTTAATAAGTTAGTGTTAAACTTTAAAAAAATCTTGATTAACTTAATTATGTGAATTAAAATTTCAAATTGTAGTTTTTAAACTTGCTGCTAAAGTAGATTATCACTCGATAAGCATTTGCTCACTGCAGCAATTAAATAAATAAATAAAGTGTGAAGATTAGGAATCACGTTAAGGAAACTATCCTTTACGTGATTCCATTTTGTCTGAAACTATTAAACATTAAATTTTCTGGAGCTGCTGTTTTGCCTGAGTTAATTTACTCTCAGAAATGTTTGAGATGTAGCTTATATATATGCCTCCTTCTGGCAAGCTCTAATAAAATAGATTCATGTCTTTGACTGAACCTTATATTGGTTTATGAATGCCTTTCAGTATTTGAGGCAGTTTTGTCAAAACATAATACCTTCACATCATCACTTATTCCATAGTCTTCCAGTACATTATTCAAAGCTTCATACTAAGCAGCTCCAGTTCCATGTTCTATAGCTGGAATTCCAAGAAGTTTAATTTCTCCATCAATTTCTTGCTATTTTATATACTTTCTTGCAGTGATATCTTCCATAATTTTTCCATCAAAGTGAACTATTATAAAGAAAAGAGCTTTCTCAGCAGCTTTTTTAATCCCCCTTTTGTGCTGGCAGCATTTTGCTGGATGTTTTTTTTTTGTGCTTGTCAAATAGTTGATTGAGACAGTGAAAAGTTGACAACATTTCCACCTGAACTAACAACCAAATCTGTACACATATGCAGCAAATCTCTGGAGGAAATATTTTTGGAGACTAAAATCATGGCAATATTTTTGACAAAATTCTTGGTTAACTGTGGTAACATTACTTGGACCTGGCTAGATGAAATAAAAAAAAACAATCTGAGTCTATGCTGGTGTTTATATTGCTGGTTTCTAAGGAAAACTGAAGCTCTGTGGTTAAATAATTTCTCTGAGCAAACTGTTCAGTACTACCTATTAACTTTTCAATTTTCTTTGTTTCAATCTTCTTTGTTCTCTCTTCTCAATTCTCTGATTATATAGTTTGTCTTTTTTACCCAGGGTCATCTTACAACTGACCTTTTGATCTTTTAAAAATTTCATATTTGTATGATAGTGTCCTTATTATAGCTAGTCTTTAGAATATCTTGGTATTTGGTTTAACAAAACAGAAAACTTTCTTTACTTTCTTTTTGAACTCTTGTCTAGCTTTTTCTGCTTCTTTTGAGTTCTTACACTTACTTTTCTTTAAATTCTCCCTGTTGTTTATCAGATCAGTGATGTGCTTCAGCTGTTAATCAGATCAGTGATACGCTTCCTGTAATAATATATGTAAAAGGTTTACAAATATTATATTATACTAAGTTTTTGTAGTGTATTTATGGGAACTTATCCCTTTAATATGAATTAAATTTTGTGTGGCCTACCTTATAAATGGGTCAGTGAGTATTATCTGTGTATTCTCAATCTATCCAAGGTTTCTTAGCTACAAATAGAATGCAGATTTCAGGACGGCTATCAACACTTTGCTGTTT